ACTAAACCACCTCCGCCAGTTTCACAACTAGTCCCATAAAAACGACAGTACGGCAGCCAGCGCGGCGGTCACACTTCTTTACCAGAACTCTGAGCAAAGGAATGCTATGCCCTGTGTCCCTCGAGCGAGCGCGATCCTTTGAACTACTCCGCCTCGTGACAGAAAAGAATGGAGACGTTCCTCGTGCTAGCCTGGGGGAACTGATGCTCAATAGGACGGCCACTGGCAGGTAAATCTTGTAAATACAACCCCATTTAATAAACGCTATTGATAGCGCTTCATTGGGTTAAGAGACTAGTGGCCCCATCCCATTCGAGCGTTGTATAGAAACACCACCTGCAATCCCTTTTCTTTTGTTCTCGCCTTTAACTCCTTTGGGAGGGGCAAGCTTAGGGCCGAATTCCTACATGAAATGTACTTCAAGTCGTATCGCTTCAGAGGTTTTGTGATCATCCATATATGCCCAAACCTTCTCATTAGCTCAGGACAGTTTCTGTTTGAAATTTGAGAGAAGAAATTGACTGATTTCTTGACGGTACGATAAAACGAAGAACGATCTTCCTCGTGATTTTCACATTGGATAGAGGCTTTCAGAGTTGCTTTTTCAGAGAAATCAAACGTTTGATATGAAGTAGTTTGTTGGGAGATGGTTACAATTGCGCCAGAATCCAAATGTGGAATCGGAAATGGGTGAGTGGGAACGGGGGAATGAAACAGAAGATGAGCAGAGTAATACATATCAAATGAATGACTGCCAATTTATTCGTCCCACGAGACACTGAATAACACAATGGTATCGAGTAAACATACATCACATTGTAATAGTGGAAAACGGGACCCATAGGATTAATATAACAGCTGTTGATTATAAAAATCAGCAAATGTGAAACAAGTTCAACGGTTTCCAAACAATGAAGAAAATATGATGTCGTTAGAGTAGGTTGTTAAGAAAACATTGGGAGAAACCACTTAACGACTGTTAGAACCCCAAAATAACTTGTCCTCCATAGAACCCGCCCTCACCTCGACCCAGCAGGAAAAACGTTGGAGGAGACATTTGTTACACTTTCCATGGACCGGTTCGGGAAGCTCAAGAATGTGGCGCCTCAAATTGAGATTCGATGGCTCAACCTCTTCATCGAGAACCAGGAATAGCATTTGAGCAGTGAGAGGGGTTCCTGCACTTGCTGGGTCGTTCGCGAATTCAATAAAGCTTATTTAACTTCTAGCTACAGGGTTTCCTAGCTGAATCAGGGGATACCACGAGCAGTGGGTGATGTGCCCGAAAGGTACGGTATGCAACCAAGTTTTGGAACCAACAGAGGCATGACGTGGGTTGACTACTAGAGGAAGCTGGTGGGGACCGGATGTAATGTCACATAGATTGGAACCACCATCGAGGGGCTCATTTCTCTGCGCCACCCGCATTATACCCAAAATTGTGGTGGTGAAGGGCTTTATTTGTAAACATAAGATAACTCGGGATCTCCCGTTTTCAACAAAAGCTGTATCAGGAGGAGAAGTTATCAGGATAAATTGAGGCAAAGCTAGATGTTGCTAGCTCAGAAACGAGGGGAAAAATTAGAGCGAAGATAAGTGGCCATTGTAAGATTCACGGAACTTTTGTGACGTGGAGCCCTTGTGTTCGTTGGTTACTTGAAGTCGGAAAAGCTTTGCATATTGGAAAGCATCAACGATCAAGATGCCCGGAAACGTCATGAATTTCGTTGGGGCCTAACGGGGAAGCAAAGATCGCCCGAATAATACCTCGCAGTTAGCTTTAAATCCCCAACTTCCATCGAACAAAAGGATTTGCTAAGCTGTCCAGTTGATGCCTGCTGCCCAGAAAAGACATCAGTTTGCTTGCCCTCTCCGTGCAGACTTTTCAAACACCAGTGACCGAGCCGTAGAAGACTACCAGGAGATAGAGCTTCGCATTAGTCAGTGGGAAGTGCGGTAAAAGAGAAGGCAAGGAATTCATGAGAAAGGGATCAGTTTGGTTTGAAGGGGAGGATTAATATTACTCGGAGGACTGAATTTTCGTCGTGTACTTCAAATAGTAACAGCTCTCATTCCCTCCCATTTCCTAGGTCGATGCGATTCACGAGTGCAATAAGGCCTGGGTAGTCTCCATGATGTCTTTGGTACATCTATGGGTCCTCCATTTTCAGATTTTATTCTTTCTTTGGATTGTTGTAAAATGATCTTAAGTCAAGATTGGGTGTAGTCAACGGAATGCTGTATACCGTAGATAGGGCTTTATACTGTAGGTAGAGGTGGTGCTACTCCCTTCTATAATGCCACTAAAACGTGCTGTCCTTTATGGAATCATTACAAATGTCCCAGTATTATTAGTATCGGCGACCGCCCCTGTATTTTTCTGATTTTTTTTTTGTTTTCCTTGTCCATTTTCTGTATTCTCATGGAGTGCGGTTTGCACGGTTAAAAGAGGGATCAACAAGTCCCTGACTAGAAACAAAGCTCAAAAATTGAATCACCCTGCATCCCCAAATCTTTGTAGCCTCAAATAAGATGGCAATTCGGACACTGTATTACAATTTGTAGATTACTTTGTAATGGAGGGGGGGGGTTCGATTACCTGTGAAGATTAGACGATGAAAACTTATAGGGGAGGGTTGGTAGTATTCGGAAGACGGAACTTCAAGCATAAACTGAATTAAGACACTGTACTGCCTCCCATCCACGACTCTCCCCCATCGAACAAATCAGTACTCATCTACGATGGCACCTTGTTGCAGTCAATACGGTAGTGACGGCACGATGGTGCAATTGCGCCGACGAGGGCGCGAAATTTTTAGTTTTGAAAGTTCAGTAGTCCTTCTTTCTACGGGGTGGGTATTTTATACATTTTATTTCACATTTTTGTGGTTAATAGTTTTTGATGGATTGGGATCAGTGATTCTTATTTGCTGGAAGGTGATTCTAGGTTTTTTCATGGCAGTATAGCGCAATAAGTAGTCATAAGTGGGCACTTCGAGGGAACGTTTTAGTGATCCTAATGTTTAGAGGGTTGTGACACTTGTACATAATATCACTAGACTAGTTTTGTCTTTCATATGTGTCACTCCTTCTCTAAGAAGGGTCCTTCTGTTTCTACAACCTCCTTCTGTTTTTGAAAGAAAAGGTTTATGATTCTATTCAGCTGAAGTCACTCTTACTCCTGATTAATAATGAGCGTATTTCTTGCCTTCCATAACCTCGCACGTATATATGAGGCGGAAACATTTCTAATAATGCTACAAGGGTGATGGATTATCAGTTGGATTGAACTTGAGTAAAAACCGGGCTTTTCGCCTGGCCCATCTCTTCCCCTCAATGATGCGATCCTGACGTTATCACATGTCTAGATATGGGTCACTTATTGAAACATGTTGGAGATATTTTTCGAGAATCATTGGCCCATATGATATCTAGCGGATTATATCTGCCGTCTTAGACTGAACTTTCGTATTCAGAGCACCAAATGGAGGTCTTAATTCAAGGGACGATAAGTGCATTAGGATATCTCGAAGATGGAGTCTACTATCAAGAGCCTGATTGTTACGGTGTGTTTTTTTTTTCAAATTATGCTACTTAAATTTCCTTATATAGCATCCATGGTATAGTTGTTTACAAGAAAATCCAAGTATTGCTTACTGAAGCTGTAGTTTTCGGACTCATATTTCTTTCACTACGGCGATGAATAGCAGTGATACAAAACGTTCTATCCTCTGACGAAACTTATGCTCGATTTCATTCTTCAATGTATCTCACCTTATCTTTTCTTTTGAGTTCGATTTTGGACAATTATTGAAACAGTGGAATAGAAACGTTCGACCTGCAAAGTCTCTTTGAAATATAATATATCATTTTCAGAGACCATCCGTGATTTGATTCGGTTTCTTCGGACCGACAATAATCTATTGTTGGCTCGTAAGATTTGCGGAGAGCGTAATATCATCGAAAATGATCTCATCCCTATTATTAAATCAGACGACCTCAAGGACAACATGTTCGATATTACACTCAGGTAAGAAGCAATGTTGTTGAGTTTCATGCTTCTATTCTATGGAATTCGGGTTATTTTGCTGTTTACTACCAATAACCTTCATACTTGAGCCTAGAAGTAATTGAATCAGTGACAGTTACGTAGTCATTCAACTGCGTATGTGGTTCGGTCCCAGCCGAAATTCGTAGCGGTGTCTTTCTCGTGAGAAGTTTTTTAACAGATGACTTGGTTCCAGTTTCTGAGATCTCGGTTTGTGATGTCCTGCCCCTTCTCTGACATCCTTTCTTGGACAGCACCTGAGGCGGTATTTTGACACAATTTTTTTTGTTACACACCCACCTAATCCTTTGCTGGGCTACTGACAATATCCCATCACTCTATGTATAATAAGACGCGCACCGCAATCCTTCTGTGGTAAGAGTACGAGCATGTGTGAGAATTTACTCTGTAAGGATGCTACTGGTTTTTTGGCATATGACCATCTAAGCGAGATTTTTCTAATTAGCTTTTTAGATTGTTGGCAAATCTGACTCAGCCAGCCATTGTAAGTTTGCAAGGGAAGCAGCCAGAAGATCGTGATGAATGGCAAACCTACTGGACGTTGGAGGAAAACCTTAGAAGAGCAAAGCTCGCCTTCGCTGACGTGAAGTTCTTCGCGGTTTTGAAGAAAAAGTTGGAGAAGTATTTTATGGAGACAGTATGTTTTCATTTTATTTGTATAGTATTATTGTATAAGTTCTACAGTGGGATACATTACAGGATTGGGAAGACCGTCTGGAAGAGGATCGTTTAGTAATGGAGCGAATCATTGTTTTGTTGCGATATATTTTCTCGATCTCGCCAACTGAAGGAGATGGCAGAGTCTGTAATTATTAGTATTGATTCGTACTTCTCTTTAACGTTAGAACATTTTGCAGAGAACAGCCGCTGAGTCGAATAGTCATGATAGAGTAATTATGGCTTTTTTGGAGTCTGGTATAGATAAGGTAATAAATATAGCCTCTGCTAGAGAACCGCTAGGCATCTCAAAACCTTCGTTCAGGTATTGACACATATCGCTATGCAGTCTAAAGAACAAGAGTTCCATCTTTCCATTATGGTCATTTTTGCGCTTATTCTCAAAGAACATGTAAGTGTCAGAAATGAATCTAGATATTTCTTCTTCACAGACTTTTGTTTAGAAACCTGCTGACATCGCCTCTGCTGGTCGAGGCAGAACACAGGCTGAGAAAGAACAGGCCGAAGAAGAGCTGCGCCAAGTAGTAGAAACTGAGAAAGCAAAGCTCAACGCTAAAAGAAGAAAAATATTAGCTAGCAGACATCCAAGGTTAGTGTTGCGGGGTTGACTTTATTACCACTACGAGATCGCTCGATGAAAATTTTTCNAAGAGCTGCGCCAAGTAGTAGAAACTGAGAAAGCAAAGCTCAACGCTAAAAGAAGAAAAATACTAGCTAGCAGACATCCAAGGTGAGTGTTGCGGGGTCGACTTTATTCTCTCTATGAATCGCTCGGTGAAAATTTTTCTCCGAGGTGGCCTAACACTGCTGGTCATCCGAGTGTGTGGATATACGGTATGGAGCTCTGCTTAGGGTTTCATTGCGCTCAGTAGTTATTTCTGGTTCGCAGTAGTTTTTTCGGTTTTGATAATGCTGTCTGGAAAGGTTCAGCTGTAAAGCTCACTTACTTTTTGTCGAAAGAATAAACGTCTAGGGAAACATTCCCATGTCTTGTTACCCAGGAAAATTTTTAATCGTTTAGGTTCTTCGGTTCGTATGTCGTGAAGGGATTGTCTGCTGTCAACAAAGAAAAAGACCTTGTCGTTCTCAAGTAATTGATGCATTTAAACATTTTGAAATCGTCAGTTAAGCCACTGCTTTAAGACCACTCAAGGATGTGAACGAGTTGACTTTTCAAGCCGAACGAAAACGCCAAAAGACCATTGCAAAGAATAGGCGGTAAGTATAGAGATGTATACCTCTTACTCTTTATGCTATAGTTCTTTGTAGGCCATTCGATGCCGAACTAAAGACCCATTTGTCTTCAATGGAGCTTCGTTTTAAGTTGAAGGAATGTCTTGAAGAAGACTTGTCAAGGTGTTTCAATCGCATGATGAAAAGCAGCAGAGAGATGGTCTGTGGTAACCAATCTGTTGACTTGATATTATTTCTAGGATCTTTCTTTTTTAGGCTTTTGACACGCGGCTTTCTGCTGGTCAAAAGAACGCTGATATGTATTTCTTTTTGCTTATGCGATTTATGCTAGAATACACGCGCTTAGCGGGACGTCCCTCATCAATCGTATGTACAGTATTCTCTATTCGTTCCTTGCTTCTTTATTTTTCACAGGATATTGTCAAGGGCTATTCAGGTGTCTGTATGCCTTCCCGTTGAATCATTCCATCATATTCAAGTGCACCTCGATAATTATCTTGAAAGTGCAGCAGCACTGAACAAGGAGGCAAAGAGTTTTGGTCTACGAGCACAGCATGCATTGTCAGCCTATAAGGAGCTTATTCTTTTGTGGGTTTCTTTGTTAAGCAGTTCTTTGAAAGTGCTGGAGAAAACTTGGCACCACTAAACCTGCATCATTTAGCCACCTGCATCTCCTTGATAAAGGATCTCCTGAGGAAAAGGAATTTGCAAAGCGAACATGCTACCATATCTTGACAGTTGAAGAATATCGAGAGATGGGAATCGTTCTGATCAGAAAGTTCAAGGTTTGAATGCGATCGTAGAGAATTGCTTTCTTTCTTGGATTTGTTTGGAATTTGAAATGCTTTTTGCTCTCTTTCTGAGAAGATTGATCTCTAGACACTGAAAAACCCATTATCCCTTTCTCATTGTGCTCCAGCCATTCCCTCACGCCCTTACCATTTTTTTTCATTTCTTCTCAACTCTTACAGTCTGATTGAATACTATCCCAGCGGGGGTTATCTTTTTCAGCCTGGCTTCCTATCAAAAACTTTCTTGCGAGAACTGATCTTGGCAACTCATCACTACTTCCGCTTGCTCGAGCGGAGTGTGAAGGCTGGTCAATTAACAACAGTCACCAAGAGGAGTAAAATAAGGCGTGCTCGTAGAAAAAAG